TAAATCAATGATAAGCACATTAAAAAATTCCTGAAAATATGAAGCTAAAAGCTAATTCAAAATATTAATAAATTCTATAATAGTATATAAATTATACTAAAATAACACCGGTCATAAGAAGTACAAGACTGTACTTAATGCAAAGTGAACATACAGCTGGAGTGAGCTCTACACAACACTCTTACAAAAAAATACCTGCAAACTGACATCCATCAGCACAGAGCTGTCGAGTTTATCATGTACATTACGACACATGTTATATGTCAGGTAAGAAGAGGCATAGATATCAAATCTGACTAAGCACAGCATTGAAACAGACCATGACCTGAGTCCTGACTAGTAGACTACGAGTAAATTATCCGTGCAGTCTCACCAAGGCTGAGAACACAAGGACACATGATAACACAGACAACTTTTTAATCAGAGCTTGTTTAAGGATGTGTCTGTCAGTTGGATGGGTGAAGATGTGATACCTCAGGCTCTCCTGTGTCATGATTGGTCTGAATGAGGATCTTTCCGAGTCGAATGTCCTTACAAACAGCCATCAAGGCCTGTTCCATGGTCTCTCCTGCCCGTAAAATGGACACACCAGTGATCTATCAAACAAACAAACAAGGAGCACAGGTATAAAGTCCTGCCATACAGATAATAGCAATACCTATGGAAACGTGTTTCTGTCATGGAATAAAAAAAGAAGAAAGGGAGATATAAACTCAGAATTGTGAGAAAAAGTCTCAATTGAAATAAAAGTTTGCAATAACTTTTATTTATTTTTTTTCTGTGGTGAAAACAGGCTTCCATACAAACCAAATGATTTGACAAATTAATAGCCAGGATAACTACTTTGACCCAGCAATTTTTTCACAAAAGTATGTAACTCATTTTAATCTTTCAAATAAACAAACCCTTTTCCCGCTCAGCCTCTTCCCTTCATATACAGTTCCTTGAGGAGTTTCAACAGACACCGGCTAAAGATAAAAAAGACAAAATAAGGTTCAGTGATCGATTTTTTTTAACTAAAATTATATAAAACAAGTGCTTTAATCTTAAATGAAGACTTGCTTCACTTCACACCATAAAAATGTAATTTGTCCATGGGGGCGCTGCCTGACATTCGAATGAATCACTGTATTATGACCAATATCCAGAGCTCATAACATCAAGTTTAAAAGTTCGTAGTTGGTCATTAATGGCGGTCCACTCACCTTCAGAGGCAGGAAGGACAGGGCGTCCTCTATTAGAAGCCTCATTAATCTCTTTGAATAGAAAATAAATTCATCCCGACTGGTTTCTTTATTCCTGGGGGCACAGGGGACACAGTCAGTAATACACAACAGAGATGATGTGTCTTTTGGAAGAGAGTATGATACTATATACAGGAACCACTGGTCTGAGAATTTAGATAAAGTGAGAAAACAATCCCTATTTTATTTTAATTACCTAATTACAAATCAGTGGCCCAAAACGTACAAACACAACTCAAGCTGTTGCTGGCCTGCCGAAGCCCCACTCATTAAATGCACAATGAAATAATTTAGCTGATAAATTTTGCTCTTCATTTATCTGTGACATAAAGTACACCTACACTGGAGTAACCCAAGGTGTATATTGTACAGGGTACAATTGTTATGATTCCTGAGTTTGAACCTAAACTTTAAATCCAGACTAATTTGAATGATTCTATAACAGTGTTATTGAAATTACAGCATTATCTGAGCTGCGAACTAGCAGTTTGCTAACGTTCTGACTGATATGTACTGTGAAATAATGCCAATACGTCTTTCTATTATGTTATGTCTATTAGGTCCATGTAAAATGAAGCATGCAGCACTAAAGCAGTACAATTCACAACAAATGAATCTTATAAGCAAGTTTGTTTAATAGTGTGATAATAAGGTTCTGATAATACCTGATAATAGTGTGCATTCCTCTGACCTGTGGGGTGCTCTCCATGACACTCAGGGTCTTGGGTAGAGGTTGACCCTGATGGGCAGATGCCAGGGCTGATCTATAGAGCACATGGATATGAGACATAAACGTTCCACAAGGTGCACACAAGCAAACAAAAAAAGAAACCACACTTTTTGTTAATGGAAAATAGACAAATATAACAATATCTGACTTTTTCCCAGTGCGAATATGGTTTGAAGAGCTGATGTGAGTTTGAAGTGTTATGGTAATAGGTCAAGGTAAAGTCAAGGCCCATTCACTTCAAGTCAGGATTTCAATTATGAATACATTTTAAAATAAAAGAATTGCATAATTTACATTTCACCCCAAAAAGAAACCTCACTGACCAATAAGATATTGACTTGGGTTATGTGTTGACAACCTGTTAATATCGTAGGTTTCTATGTACAAGTGTGTGCAATGTGCATCATCAGTGTGAACCATCAGACTTGGTGTGAACAGGCCTTTAAATTAGAAGAAGACAGAAGTAAGGGTTTTGCAACCAAAGATCTGATGCACAAGCATTAAAGAATCAGTACAACTAAAAGTTACAATTGTGATCATTTACTCACTCATTTCGTTCAAAATACATATGACTTTCTTTCTTTCACAGACCACAAAAAAGGCAGGATTTTCACGCTGTTTTTTAACATTGTAAAAACCTCTTTTTGTATATCGCAAAAGAAAGAAAATACATCATACTTGAGATCGAGTAAATGACAGTTTTAATATTAGAGTAAACCATTTCTTTAAACAGTGAAATACTGTGATATTAAAGTGTCCCTATTATGCCATTTCGAATACTGCCTTTCATGCAGTGTGTAATTTAGCTGTATGTGAATGTAAACAATCTGCAAAATTGTAGGAGACTCCCAAAACAATATTAGGAACCTTAAAAAAAATGGCATAATAGGTGCACTTTAAAACCAACAAGATGGTATTGGACTGAATTCTGTTCATTTAATTACAATATTGCAAATGTGAAAATCTTAGCAAGGAGAGAGCCACCACTGCCCTTTACAGTGTACAACAACCTACATTAATGACTGATTTGAGACATTTAATATATGTAGCTGCTAAATTTCCTTCATTGTGGCTGCCAGTTTCACCAAAACTCAGCCCACAATCCCATTCAGAAAGACACCACGTCCTAACCAGTGTGACGCGACAAGTATTTTGTCTACACTGAACACAAAACTGTTCCTTGGCATGATACGATGACAACCAATCAGAAGATATGTACAGGGATTTTGGACCAATCAGATTTCTACCTAGGCAATGCCACAAAAATAGAAACCACGTGATGGACAAAATGTCTTGTCGCTTTTCAGTCGCTGCTGGTTAGGACACTGTGATGGACTGATAGTGTGAATGTTATTAGCCCACTCTGAAAAGATGAAGTTGAGTTAAACATACACAAGCTTTCAAAAATTCAAACATTAATAGTAAAAAAAAAAACTAAAAGGACTAAAAGAGCAGAACATGTGTTTATCAAGTGAGGAAGTATTGCAGAGGATGGATCCAAGAAAACAAACAAAATAAAATAAAATGAAGAAAACAACAGAAAAAAGAAAGGCGAGAGGATGCAAGAATTTATCCTCACATATCCCAGCGGAGTTTCCTCTGAAGAAGGGAATAAATGTTCATTTGGAGACAAAGATGACGAGACAGAGAAAAGAGAGAGGGAGGGGGAGAAAAGAACACGACCTGATTAAAGTCTATACAGAACAGACAGGCACATCACAGCCAAGATGAGCTCAGGTGTGGGTAGTATGTCAGTGGTTTTTGAATAAAATGATCAAATGACAACAGACGTCTCAGTAATGAGACCATATGCATTATCAATGGGTTTCACAGGCTGCACAGTATCTGAAGAGCGAAACCACTGAAATAGACCCATTCCTGTGTTAGCAAAATAACATAGTGGAGGTGGAGACAAAAGGTACACATTCCAGCAATGGTGTTTATAAAGCTTCTTTATAATGATATTCTTTGTCTTTACATCAGTTGTGTGCAGCTCATTCAGGTCCTTAGCATACAGTCTTCACTTAAACATTCTGTTTTATAGATCATTTCAGCCAAAATATGAAAGTAAATATCAAAACAAGCACTACCGTTCAAAGAAATTAATACTTTTATTCAGCATGGAAACATTAAATTGATCAAAGCACCAAACTGCTTTCAAAATTAATAATGATAAAAAACTCTTTTTTTTTCTTGAGCACCAAATCATTATATTAGAATGAATTCTGAAGGATCATGTGACACTGAAGACTGCTGAAAATGTAGATTTGCATTGCAGGAATAAATTAAAAGATATGAAAAAAGTTATTTTAAATTGTAATAACATTTCATATTATTACTGTTTTACTGAATTTTTGATCAAATAAATGCAGCCTTGATAAACATAAGAGACTTTCCCATAAAATACCACCCCTAAACTTTTGAACGGTAGTGTATTAGCGGTTTCAATTATAGCTATGATTTTGAACAAGTGAGATTTTAATGTGGGCGAGGCTGTGTATCCGTTTATACTGCAGCCTCAACAACACTAAACGTTTCATTTGATTAGTGTAGAGCCAGAGCTAAGCTTTTCCTTTTGTCTCCATTTGCATCTCTGCAGGTTTGAGGAAAAGAAAGGAGAGATGAAGCACAGGTTTAAAGAATGTAGGAAAGAGAGATGGAAGGGAATGAGGGGAAAAGCAGCCATACCTCACTGTGATTTCACGCTGGGATGGTTAGAGCAATCGGTTGAGGGTTTAGCAAGTATTTCATTACAAACACGCACAGGGAGGAGAAGAAAAAAAAAAGAAAAGAAAAAAAGACAAACTCATGAAATGAGATATTCACTCTGAAAAGCCATTCCAAACAGTCAGCCCTCAACCTCTCCATGGTATACTGGGAAAATATTTCATGGCACTATCAGCTACTCTTACGCCCTATATTTAACCTGATACAATCACATTCTTGCAGATTTACACAATATACATTTATGCTTCTCATATTTCCAACACTGAAAAGAAAATGTTTCAGGCTGATTTAACAGTCTATATCAGTGTTACTATATTACTGTGGAATCACAGGGTTGATTAGATAAAACATTTATAGACAACACATTTTCCATTGTACTAAATTTGACATAGCTTTGAGGTTACACCAGGATTTTTTTTTTTTTTTTGGAAAAGGGTGACTTTAATGAAATAAAAATGAAATAAAGAAAAAGAGTTTGAATTAGGGAAATTCTATTTTGCATAAATAAATGGAATATATTATTAATTATAAAAGTAATATATTTATTATTAATAATTTGTTGTATTATAATAGTAATGTGTACGTGGGTGTATAAATCGTACATACACACATTTAATATTTTAAATAAATGAATAAGGTAGATAGCTTTATACAATGATCAGCATTTAATTGTTTCAATTAATTTAATCAATTTCCTTCTATAAGTTCTTATAAGAAGTTCTATAGCTTAATAAGTAACTTCTATAACTTAATGGGCTACTACCTAACCTGCTGAGTTAGCAAGTTCAAGGTTTCTTTTTTTCTCTCATAAAGCAAAAAATGTCAATACCGTCATTACCATTACACACAGTATTAAAAACCCACACGTCACATGTTATACAAAACAAAATGTCAGAAGCGCCCCTAATTTAGGAATCATAAAAAAATTAAGTAATAAACTTTTGCAGTGTCTTTAAAAATATTTTTCAGTCAAAGTACTCACTGGGCGTAACATCAAAATCTTTCAAATCTGACCTCTATGTGATGAGAAACCCAATGATGGGTTTAGAGCAGGATATCTTTTGTACAAAAGCACATGGTTCATTAGTCCTAAAGATCATTCATCACTGTGACTGATCGAGTTAAGAAGACTCATGACTTTATTCAGTCTGTCAGGCACAGAAAATGATTACATTTCAAAGAGGCTCAGGCTCTAAACCCTTTCTGTGGAATACATCTGTCATCAATACTGTATATGCACACGAACATCACTCAGCAAACGTTCATTAGTGTTAACATCTTTGTCTTTCTAATAATTACCTTGGTAGGCACCTAAAATCAACATAAAATCAAAAACTGTCTACACATTTGCTTGTCTCCTGGTTTCTCAGCATACTGTCTGAATCATCAGAGCATGCTATTCCAAAGAAAAGAGTGGATAATGTTAACCAACAGGCAAAAGGCTATTTAGTCACTGTTTTAGCAAATTCCCAATATTATGGCTGAGCAATATTATGGTATGAAATGCCCACTTTTTTCAAGATCCAATCAATTCCCATTGGAAATGTCATCATTTCGTCATTTTTAATGAATATTGTGCCAGATATTACATTTGCAAATGAACTATAAAGGCGAAGATGGACTGTAAAATGAAGATCAAGATTACTGGCCTTGCCTTCTCTTGTTTTAACCAATGCATATAATATTTAGAACAAAATATCTTGTGTCACAGGTACAGTATGACCACCAGAGGGCAAACTATACTTATACCATGAGCAAACTATGCTTATACCGTGGCATGGGCTTCATATGCACACGCATGCAACATTTGTGTGTGTATTAGAAGCATGTGGATCATCTAGCAGGGATAACAACATGCATGTTGGCCATTCTCAGCACTTCTTTATGCACAGACCAACTAATCATTCTCACTCAGTGTCCAACAGATGAGAATGAGGAGCCATTTTATTACATACCTTTTCCAGCTGACTGTGAACATGCTGAACAATCAGATCCAAGGCTACAGAGTTTTCTCCACCTGAGGAACAACGGAAGGGGACTTTATCATCTCCATTATACTTTCACAGACACAAATTCCCATAATTCTGAACAAACTAGGAAGGTTTCACAGTAATTGTTTATTGCCATACCAGCATCAAAGGCTAACTGTATAAGGTCTTTCAGTTCGATATTTATACAGAAATTCAAAACATTTCCAAGGTGAAACATTTTTAAATCATCTTTTAATGAAATTTCTGAATATAAATGTTGCCTAGCAATATTAAAGACAGACAGTCTGGTAAAATATGCTTAATAGTCTATGACATCTTACAAAATCTTTGGCAGTTTTAACATTTTCCAACTTCACATACCTCTTGGGACCACAATATCTGCAACCTGCACAGTGGGTTCGATGTACTGCTCAAACGCTGGCTTGACAAATTTGTTGTACTGTTTAATGACGCCTGCAATGTCACGCCCTCTATTCGTGATGTCCCTTTTTAGTCGCCTGACTAGCCGGATGTCAGAGTCTGTGTCTACAAATACCTTCATGTCTAGGAGCTGAAAGACACACAGAAACAGTAATACCACACAAAACATCAAGAAACTGACAATGTGTTATAGACAAAGCTTCCATCTTCCAGCTTATGTTTACCTAAGCATGTATTAAATTGTTTAAAAGTGACAGTAAAGACATTTATAGATTTCTATTTAAAATAAATGCTGCTTTTTTGAACTTTCTATTCATCCAAACATCTAGAAAAAAAATGTATCACTGTTTCAGCACAACTGTTTTCAACATTAAAATGTTTCTTGAGTGGCAAATCAGCATAATAGAAGGATTTCTGAAAGATCATGTGACACTGAAGAGTGGAGTAATGATGCTGAAAATTCAGATTTGCCATCACAGGAATAAATTACATTTTAAAATATTAAAATAGAAAATTGTTATTTTAAATTGTAATAATATTACACAATTTTAATGAACAGAGCCTTGGTGAGCATAAGAGAAAACTCACCAGCCCCAAACTTTTGAACAGTAGTGTAGTTCTTCATCAAGAAATTTGCTGTTTAACTAAGATTTTAAAAAAAAAAAAAAAAAACACACACCAACAACTTCAATAACCCTCATTGTTTTCCACTCCAAAATGACAAAATCTTGCAAGGCAGACACAATCTGTCCAGGATCTACTACCGCCTCTCCTCGACGGTTCCTGTTACTGAAAACACGTATGAGATCTTTCAACAGAGCGAATGGATAAGAAATTTAATAAAAGCTGCTCAGCAAAGGGGAAGTCAGGATCAATCAAAGCAATGTAGTGCAGCGTGACGCCAACTAGCCAAGATGTACCGCTGGTGCTGACACTGACGCTAAAATATCATTCAGTGAGCCGACATGATATGGCAAAGGCATTAAATTTGAGAGTAACGATAAACAATCCAACACCCTTAAACAGCAGTGCCAGCATCCCTACCAACACGACAAGGCATAACTTATAAGACTCTGTGTGCAGGCGTGCAAGAAACGTACATGAATGGAGTGAAAGGTCAAGTGTATATCAAGTTTTAAAGGACAGGAAGTCATTGCTCATTCTTCCTGAATGAATATCTCTCAAATGAAAAGGTGAGCTGTGACTGTATTCACAAAGGCCTGCGATGAGAAAGAGTTCAACTGAAAACCCTGATCCATTCATTAGCCGAATGATGTCTACCGTTTGTTGAGTTTCATTGGTTCTGCGGCACATCTGCTGCACAGTGCTCATAAATCACGTCAGGATGAACTGCTTTGCCAAAGCGTACACAATAACTCCCATTTTAATTTGTATAGATTTCCGGATACCACATGCAAAGGAAGAATCGAAACCCGGCAATGGGAACCGTCAACGCAGGCGTAGATAAACACCGCCTATTCACTTCCTGTGGCTGCTCTTCACCATTAGAGAGACAGAAGAATCAGTCATCTTCACTGTTTGAGGAAAACAACAGGATGCAGGAAGAAAAGAACACAAGGGGAGGAGAGAGTTCTTGTGCAGTTTCAGTAGGACCATGCATTAGGAACAAGATTTTATATATCTATCTATATCTATCTTCATCCAGAGATGCAGCTGTTCCCTTAAATGATAGAAGAGACAACTAGAACCCATTATCTAGCTAACCATTAATGGGTTTTCATGTATATGCAGGGCTGCAGAGAGAGACAGAGACGGTATAGACAGGGCATCTCATCTTCCCAGTCGGGTTGTGGGAATGAGATCCATTACTCCGTGGCAGAGACATCAGACTGTGAAATTTCCAGGATCATTTCACCCCAAATTCAAAAGAAAAAATTAAGCAGACTGTACCTCTTGTTTTATTGTCATTCAGCATCCATAACTAACCTGTGGGAATATAAAATACACAATATTCCCTCTCTTCTCATTCTATCATTACACAGCTATCTTTCTTTTCATTTGACCTTATCTTTTACACCCCCATTTTTCCCTCTCTGCTTTATGACTCCCATGATGCTCTTCTATATTTCAGGCTATGAAGCTTTCCATTATTTTTCCTCTCTTTCTATCTTTTACTGAAAGCCCTTTGTGATGTCACAAACCACAGTTAAAGGTGATAACTGAGACTTTTACAAGTTTAATACGAGGCTTACCTTTAAAAGCTCCTTGTTGGCAAAAGCCAAGATTCCCTCAAATATCACAACGTTGGCCCCATAGACGGTTTTCTGCACAGAGGAACATAAACAGAGAATATTAAAGGACCAGGAAGAAAACAACATATAAAAAATGTCATGTTTTTATCTAATCTAATCTAATCTAATCTAATCTAACATAACATAACATAACATAACATAACATAACATAACATAACATTTATGTAACATTTATGTAATTACATAATATTAACATTTAATTACCAGAAAAAGTATACATTTTTTATGAAATAGTCAGTGAATTAATTACCGCATATAATACATTTTATTTATTTAAAAAATCTGGTTTATACCTTAACTGATCAAATTACACAAAAATAAGGTACACAAAATGCCCAGAAAAATGCTTTCAAATTTGTTCAACTTCACATATGATGTCAATAAACTGAGGCAGTGTTGGGAGAAACTGTGGAAGTGTGTGGTGATGCATTTCCTCCATGCTCCCCTGCTTCAGAATAAGGGGAACCCTGATGGTGTCATGATCCCATTAAGACAGATGCACTACCATGAGGCCTCCCATCAATGGCCACTCATTCGGTATTGATCAGCAGCACAAGTGGCCTGTATACGCCACAGAGCCAGAGATCTCACTTTATCACTCATTAACATTACAACCCTTTTAAGTACAGAAAAAAACCCTAATGCACGTTCAATTTTAGGAAGATAAAAAGCAGCGCAGCTCCTAAGGAATCATAAATATGTGTCTAAAGTAACCGTAGTTACTGCTACTGATTTATTTCTATCAGGCATGAAATAGCAAATTGCCTGTAAATAATAAAAGCAAACTTAAACATTGTTCTCAGTTAACAATTAAAGGGTGAAATTTGACAGCTTTATAAGAGTGTTTGGTTTTGGAGTTAAATTAAATCTATAAAGACATAACTGTATATTAATCAGGTTTAGAAAGTAAATTACTGATCTAAATTAACATGAATTCACAGTAAAGTTTGCAATTTCTGAATTATATTTCATGGTAATCTGATGTTAATATTCTTCTGCTATATTGTGTAACAGTCTATTTAATTAATAATATGGCAAAAAAAAGCATTACAGATCATTATTAGAACATACACTGTAATTGCATTAGCACTGCTGCATCACATTTAATAAAGATAAAGTAGGTTACACTTTATTTTAAAGTTGCCTTGTTACAGTGTAAAGTATTGAGTAATTTTAATTAACAACATGTACTTACCATAGGGTTAGGGAAAGGTTTAGGGTTAGCTATATGTAATTATGAATAATTTACTGTTTTACACAGGTACTTTTATTACGTAAGTCTTATTACTACATAAGTACATGTAATGTGTAACAAGGGTACTACAAAATAAAGTGTTACTTAATAAAGTGTTCTCCTATCCCAGCCTAATACGACAATTGTAAGCAAACTGTTTGTAGGTTTATTTTGTTTGTTTGAGCATCAAAATTATTTTTGCAATTCTGTTTGGTAATGCTAGGGATGCAGAAACTACATAGTGTTGTTCTGGAGGAGAAAACAAGATAATAAGCAATATATACAGGCTCATGCATACTAACCAGACAATCACACACATGCTTACCCACTCCTTGCGATGACTGTGACTGGTAAAGTCGTACACTGGCACTTTGATGCTTTTGCCCTTTTTCAGTTTTCTCAACACAGTTACTAGCAGTTCAAAATCGAAGGCATCAGGATGATCAAAGTTGTACTCGTTTCTAGCTGCCAACTCCTGCTCCTCTTTACTCAAAACCTGCAAGATGGCAAGTAAAGAAAGTTGAAATAAGAAAACAGTAAAGATTACATTGTTTTCAGTGATGCAGAAATGTTGAGGTTGACAACAACAAAACGGCACTATTCAATGAAATTTGCCTGTAGACTTCCCACCATAGTGAGAAACATATCTGACTGATTGAACCACTTAATTAGACAACTAATAAGCTGGAGGATATGCCATTAAATCAAATAAGGATTGATGAGTAGATCCTATAGGGTTTCAGCACATCCAATGGGGCAAGAGCAAATTATATTAATGCTTCAGTGGTTTCAACACATGAAGAAGTTTCATTTGAAGCACTTTAATGGCACAGTGGTCTGCAAATGCAACTAGGAGCAATAACACCACTGATGAAACATGCCATTGGATTTGGAGTGAAATTCCTCACTTTAAAAGGACAGGAAGTTCAAAGCAGAAGTATTGTAGCTGGGTCTACTTTAACACAGTTGTGAAGTACCTTGTAGAAAGAGTCCATAGAGAGCAGAACAACCCAAGGAACATCAAGAGCCTCTATGATCTTATTGGCCACGGTGGTAGATGACAGACAGACAGACAGACAGACAGACAGACAGATAGATAGATAGATAGATAGATAGATAGATAGATATTTTTAGTTTTTAAATATTGATCATTTTTATTGCTATTGCAAAACCTGGTCGATTACAAATGTTTGCGTCACAACAATATGTATATATAAATCAAAGAAGAATAAAAAAGAAAAAGAAAAAGTCTGCTAATCAGACAAGAAAAATGCATTACACAACTCATCTGACGGTACATTATACAAAAGCCAGTCATGTGAGACATTATGCTGACCACTACATTTTCAGATACTAAAGTTTTAAGTATCAGATAGATCTCCAGAATAAAAGGCCATAAAGAAAACACTACATAAAATAAGATACACAACCAGTGGGAATAACAAAAAGCTTCTTGTTGTTATATGGACTAAAGTTACTTAAAACTGCTTCAGTGTTGTTACGTCCTCTCTCGTCTCCCTGTTCCTCTGACCTTTAAGGGAAGATCATTCCACTTGGGTGGATTTATTAGTTTCTCTCTGACTGAGTGAGCAGGGAAGACAGACACACCACACTTTTTTTTTTTAAAGAATAATTGACTGGAGCACATCCAAGTGTGAAATTGTAGCCCGTTCGACAGGCTCTTTGTGAGTAATGGATTGCATGCTAATGACCTCAGAGCTCAGTCCTGACAGAACTCATGTTCTCACACACCACAAAAGTGTAAACCTTCAGGCCTGCAATATGAAAAGTTTCACAAAGGATTTAAACCTCGCTTTAAGATATATAAACTACTGTTCAAAACTTTGAGGTCACTATGACTTTTTTATAACAAGAAATGCACATTATGATCAGCAGATTAGAATTATTTATGAAGGATAATGTTACACTGAAGACTGGAGTAATTTAGCTTAGCCATCACAGGAATAAATTACATTTTAAAATATATTAAAACAGAAAACAGATTTTTTTTTTAAATCGTAATGATATTCCACTAATATTACAGTTTTACTGTATTTTTTAATGAATTAACTGCAGCCTTGGTGATCACAAGAGACATCTTTCAAAAACATTTTAATAAAATCTTGCTGACCCCAAACTTTTGAACAGTGGTGCATAATTCATGTCTCAAATTTAGAGTAAACATTTAGCAAACAGGAAAAATTCAAATAGTTTTTAATTTATACTCCATTTTATATATATGCTGCTTTATTACTCACTAATCTCTTATGAGTGTAATAAAATATTAATACAATATGAAACCTAAACTATACCCACATAATTTTCTTAACAAATGTCATATTGTGCAATGTTTTCATAAGATTTTATCAAACGTAATAATTCATTGCCCTTTACATAACAAGACTTGATATGTCATTATCAAATAGAAGGCATGCATATCTGTCGTACCTATGACAAAGGCTTCTTTAAAGGTGGTCCCAGTAACATTGTACCAGGGTGGACGCCCTGCAGTGTAGATTGTCCTCTTATTCGTCCTCAGAAGTGGAGGCTCTGTTTTGCTTTGGCTGGTGGTCCGTTTCCGTGGAGACAGCGAAGGGGTCAAGGGACATCTGTGTCTCATAAGGCCATCGAGAGAATCCTCACCACTACCACAAAAAAATAAATGAATAAATAAAATGCAAAAACTCTAAATGTTCCATTGAACACAATGGTATTTGGTTTAAGAGCCATGGCCATTTGGAAACAGAATGTGTAAATATTTTTATAATGTCACTGTCACAGGCTCAATTAACAGTCATCAACAACTGATTAATTATCAATTAACAGAGCGAAAGGTATGTGTGAGTGTCCATACTGCCATCAGACATGCCTTTGAAATCATGAACAGCCCCATTTGACGTGAGCATTGCTATTATATTGCTATATATCCCCCTGTAGCTCAAGACTGGTTGCCCACTGAAGCTAAGCAGGGTTGAGCCTGGTCAGTACATGGATGGGAGACCTCCTGAGAAAACTAGGTTGCTGCTGGAAGAGGTGTTAGTGAGGCCAGCAGGGGGTGCTCACCCTGCAGTCTGTGTGGGTCCTAACGCCCCAGTATAGTGACGGGGACACTATACTGTAAAAAGCACTGTCCTTCAGATGAGACGTTAAACCGAGGTCCTGACTCTCTGTGGTCATTAAAAATCCCAGGATGTTCTTCGAAAAAGAGGGGTATAACCCCGGCATCCTGGCCAAATTTGCCCATTGGCCACTGACCATCATGGCCTCCTAATCATCCTCCCGCTTTCATGTTAAGCGCTTGAGTACCCAGAAAAGCGCTATATAAATGTAACTAATTATTATTATTAAACACTGTTTCACAGAGAGCTTGAGGGAATCTGTGTCTTTATGATGCCCTCAAGGCAAGTTTATTTATATAGCACATTTCATACACAATGGTAATTCAAAGTACTTTACATAAAAGAAAAGAAAATACTGCGGGCGGCATAATAGCTAAAAGCGGACTCCCCTTGTTTTGTGTGAACCCTTGGTATTTCTAACTGACTCAATCAACGATCTGAGTGGTCTGTTAGGTTTATATTCAGTGAACGTATCTTCAATGTATTTAGGTCCTAGCCCACTGAGTGATTTATAAACGAGTAAAAGTACTTTCAAATAAATCTTAAATGTAACTGGAAGCCAGTGTAAGGACCTGAGGACTGGTGTGATATGCTCAGATTTTCTGGTTCTAGTCAGAATTC